TGAGGGAGACTAGAAAAGTTGTTAAACATTAGAATACAGGCCTTTTCAATTACTCCTCAAAATAAATAGATATTGATTTCTTAAAAAAAAATAAAAAATCAGATTTACTTTCCCACCTTCACTGTTAAATATTGATGTCTGTGGGAAACAGAAATGAAAAGCTTCATTTTAAAGGCACTTAGCCTGCTCTGACAGTGGGGTACCCCTTCATTACTTCAAGCTGGTAGAGGATGAAAGGGATATTCTGGTGATACAGATTTAGCTCTGAGCTCTACTACCATCTTTTTCTGTGACTGGAAGAAAGTTCCGTGTCTCTGTTTTCCTAATAAAGCCATCCTACCTTGTAGGGGAGGCAGAAGACTTAGAATGGGAAGATACTTAGAAAAGAGCAGTGTTTTTCCCAGTTTCTAGTCTGACATGAATGTGGCAGCCAGTGTCTTGCTAACCACTGCAGTGAGTGATTTGGAAGCTTGGATTACTCTCTGGTAGGCTGTTTAGTTCACTGGTTTGCTTTCTAACTATAGCAGTTCTTGAGATAGTAGCAGCTAAAATTATGTTAGAAGAATTGCAGTCTTAAAGCTGCAGGGAGTGTATTCTGGACATCACCCTTGTGTCATATTTACTCTACAACTTTTCATGTGTATAGACTTTCTCTTTACCAAGAAGATAGATGCACACAAATCCCCTTTAATCTGACTCTCTTGGGGTGATTACTGCTGAGCTTTAAACTCCTGGTACCATAAGTTTATTAACAACAACAACAACAAAAAACCTGCCCCCAGGATTACTCACCCACCCCTATCACGTGTGTCTCACTGTCTGTCTCTGTATCTCTCCAGAGATTCACTAGTAAACAGGATGTGATTCGGCATTACAACATGCACAAGAAACGTGATAATTCCCTCCAGCACGGCTTCATGCGCTTCAGCCCCTTGGATGACTGTAGCGTGTACTATCATGGCTGCCACCTGAATGGGAAAAGCACACACTACCACTGCATGCAGGTAACGCCTGGGCTGGGGAATAGGGGCTGGACACGGGGCAAAGGGAGAGCCTTGGTTGGATCTGTGTCCTTTTTGGGGTGGACTGAAAGGACTCTTGAGTTCAGGCAGCCCAGCGTTTCCTTGTCAGAGAGCAAGGGGCTGGCCCGAGGCAAAGGGGTGACATTTTAAGCGTTTGTAGCCTCTCCTCCTCACTTCTGATTCAGGCACCTCTTTGAAGAGTCAATGCCCTGTCCTCACTGCACTTGCCTGCCAAGTGTTGGGAAGGGTGAAGGGAAGCACCATTCTCTGTTTTCAGAAGCCTTGTGCACGCAGTGAAGCAAAGCAGGTCTCAGGGTTTCGTCACAATCTTGAACTTAGTCATATGTTCTCTGAGATTTAAGGACTTCTCTGCAATGCCACTGCACAGCCTCTCCCCAGATCTGATCTGTCATTCCCTCAAAATCAGACTTTTCTGTGACATATCTGCCCTTTAACACTGGGTTAATTTCCTTCATAATCAATTTCTAAAGTAATTAAACTTCAGTATCACATATCTAAACACCCCTGGTTCTCCATCTTCACTAGTGGTCCTGGAGTTTACTTGTCTGTGGTGTAAGCTGGGAGCTTTGTTTCAAGAGCCAGCCAGGCTTCAACAGCAGTGTAACCAGAGTTGGCATTGCTGCATGAATGTAACTGTGATGCCTTCACTGGTTTTAGACACGGACACACCAGATTGTTTGGGTTTTACCCTGATCATTTTTCACATTAGAGAGTTTGATATGTACTTGTTTCATTAGAACTGTGGCCTAAACCATTGCCATGAGAATGTGCTGTAGTTACAAACAGAATAATCAGGCAACCCTTGGTGAAAGCTTTCTGTTCTGAAAACTCAGGTCTTGCTTCCTGCCCTATCCCAACAGTTTAAGACCCCAGTTAAAGTCATAAGGCCCTAATCACATGCTTAAATGCTTTGCTGGGAGAGACTTCAGCATATGTTTAACTTGGAGCCAGGTAAGCTTTCTGAAGTCAATGGGGCTTAAGCACATACTTAAACGTTAGGCATGCACTCAAGTGCTGTCCTGAATAGGGGCTGCTTTAAGCATGTGCTTACAACATTTGATAAATTGGGAACTTCATGTGACTTTCTCTTGAGGACATTTTCTGTTGTGCTTCCATAATATTGATTGTTCGTTTTCTTCAATTGACCAGGATGGAATTTGTTTAATCTTTTTTATTTTTTTTAGAGTAGAAGGAAAGTTTCGCAGCTTTAAGTCGCTCTGAGTTTGAATAGAGACCCTCATTTATACAACTATATATGGGTAATTCCACCCTGTGCCCACTGTCTTCCAGTAAAGTAATGCCCATGTAAGCAGTGTCTTACAGGAAAGGTGTCTGAATATAAACTCCCAATTAAAGAAAATACTGCTTAAATGGCAGAATTTGTGCCATCCATCTCATGCTGGTTTTTTTTTTCTTTATGTCCATAATTGGTGTGGATAAAATTCAGTTAGTTGTTTATATAAACTGACATTTTTTTAGGCTTTAGCACCAAGAGCCACATTGCAAATTATTCCTAAGGAGGTTTTTGTTTAATTCTTTTTTTTAATGCTGTGCAGGGTCTGTCTTTTTTCAAGGTGTCAGTGCAGAGAGAGGGAGGCTCTTTTATATTGGAAATAGCTGGAGATCTTTTTTATTTTTTTTTCTGGGTATTTGTCATGGGTTTTGTTATTGCCTGTTTGAATCAACCTGGGCTGAACTAAGAGGTGGTGTTTTCGTTCTCTTCACTTCTGAGATGGTGCAGGCATTGGCACATGTTGTGCTAGAGAAAAAAAGGAAAAAAAAAAATCCTCCCTCAGCAGGGCTGAGGACGTTTTCAGATTCCAGTGTTTTTTTACTCAATATGGCAAAGTTGCCCGCTTTACCCAGAGGAAGGCAGGTTTTCAGCATTCCCTCCTCGTCACACCATTCCCATTTGCTGCACGAGTTTAAAATGATTGGAGTGGTAGTATTGAGCAGTGACGGGGAAAAAAAGTCACCCGTTTGCTAAGACCAGGGGAACACAGGGTTTATGCTTTGCTACAATGCAACCTGTATATTACAAGCTCAAAAGATTGGCCTCATGTTGCACCACCCTGCCTTACCTCCCAGGACTAAAGAGGTAAATAACTCATTCCCACTCAATTTTGTAATTCCCCAAATAGATGGACATCCTACTTCATTCCGTGCCGCTCCAGGATAACAAAAAGTGATGGCATCTGTCAGTGTTCTTTTCTCCTGAAGAGCAGGAGCCCTGCTTACTGCCTCCCTAAGCAGGCATAATGATCTGTAGCTGACCTTTTAGCCTTTGCATCCTCCCCTTCTTTTCTTACTGTTTCATGCTCAGAGGGTTGTTTGTTTGGTTTTCCACAACTGTTCTATCAGTCTTTAGACTGGGAATTAAAGTTATGACTTCATACTCCTAGGAGAGGTGCACAAATGGAACTGTGAGATGTGTGTGTGCTGCTTGTATGTTTATTATTGCTGGTAATAATGGTAGGCTGTTAAAACCCTGTGCTGATGACTCCCTGTTTTGGCCTGGGGTAGGTGGGTTGTAACAAGGTCTATACAAGCACCTCTGACGTGATGACCCATGAGAACTTCCACAAGAAGAACACACAGCTCATCAACGACGGGTTTCAGCGGTTCCGTGCCACAGAGGACTGCGGCACTGTGGAATGCCAGTTCTACGGGCAGAAAACCACTCACTTTCACTGCAGGTGAGACAGCAGGGAAGGGGAGGAATCCTGCCTCAGAGCTGTGTGATCTGTTTGCCTCCTTCTGCCAAGTCATAAATTGAGGAGAATACACAGGGACTTGATTTTCCCTGCTGTGACCTTCTCAGTACTGCTCTTGAGAGAACTCATGCTCCGGGGCAGATGTGATTTCCAGAATCTTGCCATAGACCACTCTGAAGGCAGGAGTGTGATCTGAGGTGATCTGAGGAAAGTGTACCCAGTAGAAAATACATCCTAGAATCATTTGGTAAAGAGCTTGCCGTGCCATTCAGAGTTTGACTGAGGTAGGCCATTAATATACTGCTAATGGCACTTCCATGCTAGAGTTCTCTCCAGCCAACAGTGGGGCAGCTCACCCCTTTCAGGGCCAGACTCTGCCTTCTATACACAAATGCTCTTCTATTGATTTCTTATGTTCCCAGGAAGAGTAGGAAAGCACAGTTTGTACCTTAGTCCCGTTTAGCTGCTGTTTTGGTTGGGACTTTTAGTGGTGGGTGCCTGTGTCCCCATGTTATTGTGGCTGTTCCTCAGAGTCCAGTGAGCTTCCCAGCTCTCTCACATGGCAGCATTTTTGCTTGCCTTGGTGTCACAGGTTAATGTGCATAAAGCTCCTCAGCCCCTCTGCAGCCAGGGCCATCATCTCACACTGGCCCCGGTCCTTATCCCAGAGGGAGGCAGGTGACAGCAGTTGCGTTGTGCTCCTAGCCCACAGCCAACCACCCTCTCCTCCTCAATGCCCTTGCAGGCGACCTGGGTGCACATTCACCTTCAAGAACAAGTGTGACATTGAGAAGCACAAGAGCTACCACATCAAAGATGATGCCTATGCCAAGGATGGCTTCAAGAAGTTCTACAAGTATGAGGAATGCAAGTATGAAGGCTGTGTCTACAGCAAGGCCACCAACCACTTCCACTGCATAAGGGCAGGCTGCGGCTTCACCTTCACCTCCACCAGCCAGATGACCTCCCATAAACGCAAACATGAGCGCCGGCACATCCGGAGCTCGGGAGTGCTGGGCCTACCTGCCTCTCTGCTGGGGTCCAAGGATAATGAGCAAGAGGAGTCCAGTAATGATGACCTCATTGACTTCTCCGCTATGAGCTCGAAGAACTCCAGCCTGAGTGCCTCCCCCACCAGTCAACAGTCTTCCGTTTCTCTCATAGTCCCAGCTGCACCCTCCTCTGCTGCTGAGCTTGCTTCCTCACAGGCCAGCAAGTCTGCCAACAGCATGACACCAGCCACCAAGATCTCTGGCCTGCTCTCCCAGGCTCTTCCCAGCAATATACCCTTGGCCCTGGCACTCTCCAACTCAGCACTTCCTGGAACAGCTGGATCCTTCTTCCCCATCATCCCCAGTCGGGTCTCTACACCACTTCCTGCCACCTCAGCTAATCTGATGGCTGCTGGTTCTTCTGGCACCAATCCAACATCATCTGCTCCTGCAGATTCCTCATCCCAGGCCATTTCAGGATCTGGTGAGCCAGTGGCTACTTCTTCTCCAGCTCCAGCAGCATCTATAATGGAAAGGATCTCTGCTAGCAAGGGATTAATCTCTCCTATGATGGCCAGGCTGGCAGCAGCTGCACTCAAGCCCTCTGTGGCACTTGAAGCAGGTGAGTTACCCTCATCAGTTGTGCTAGTGGTGGGAGGAAGAGCAGTGCCTGATGACGTGGAGAGGAATGAATGAGAAGCCACCTAGTTGTCCATGGGACTGGAGGTCGGGAGGAGGTAGTAAAGGAACAGAAGTGGGAGAATAAATTTGGTCGTGTCCAGTTAACCCTTGAAGAGGGCAGTCTTGGCATGGTTTCCTGTGGAGCCTGGCTGTACCCACAGGGCCAGAAGACAGGCAGGCAATACAGCTTTGCCCACGAATGGAGTAAGCTCTTACCAGCTCTGAAGGAAGAGTGTTGCCACGAGTATTAACTAGTTTGCTGTGGGCTGAAAAGAGAGAGGCACTGAATTAAAAATGGAAATGAAGAAAAAGCTTGGTCAATAGTTGCAGGCCATGCAGCTGCCTAAGCCTGGCTGGGCCTGCTGTTGTTGATCCTGTAGCTCATTGCCAATTGTTTTACTGATCTGGGGGGCTGGTTCTGTGCCCCAGCTCTGTCGTCCCAGCTGTGGGTTTGGAGGTGATGTGGGTACAGTCCACAAACCGGACCTTTCTCCTGTTCAGTTCTTGCAAGCCATGCTTCTCTGTCCCTGCAGCTCCCTGAGTGGCTCCGTGAGAGGGGTAAAAGGTGGGAATGAGAACTCCCCTGGGGCAGCCCGGAGCTCTTCCTGCTGCCACTAGACCTGGGTCAGGTAGTTGGCTGCGGCCAGCCCTGCCAGCAGGGATGTGGGGCTCCCTCAAGAGCATGGGGGACCTCCACAATATCCCGCTGAACATAGTCAGCTCATGGTGGGCAACGTGGGGTTGTGGAGGGGAGGCTCTGCCTGGCAGCACCTCATGGCACTGGGCTGCCCCACGGCCTCCTTCCCTGGGTGTGGAAAGGCCAGAGGAGGATGCTGGCCGGTGGGGATGTGAGTGCTGCCTGTGTTCCCTTCTACCCAAGAGCAAACGAGGGAGTAGGACAAAGTGATCTGATTAAAGAGGGAGGGGAAATTTCACATACTGCTAAAATTATTATTTGAAAAATTGTTTCCTAAAGCAGAGAAAGGTCATTGAGGGAACTATTTTCTTTATTTTTTAATAAAATGCCACTTGCTGTCTGAGAAGCAGCTCCCCGGCAGCTGTACTGCCGGAGGGTAAATTAATATTTTAGTCACTTGGGGATTGTGGAAAAAAGCTCTACAGACATGTTCCTGTCAGCAACTTTTTTTCCCTCCTTTTTTCTTTGCTGTTCTTCACAATTTTTTTTTTCTTTAATTTGTTCTCTGGTTTTTCCTCCTTTCCTCTTTTTTTCTCTTCCTTTAATTTGAATTTTTCTCTCATGGGGTCAGCACTAAACCTCCTCCCAAAAAAAGAAAGAGTTCCCCCTCCTTTTTGTGGGGACAACGTGATGGCGGTGGGAAGAGGTCGCGCGGTTCGAACCGGTCCCGTTGGCTGTCACCTTCGATAGCCCCGACGGGGCAGATGCTCCTGCTGGGCAGGCGCAGTGGTGGCCCATCGCTGTCGCTACGGCAACGCTGGGATTGGGGACGAGAAAGGGGGCTTGACTAGCAGTCGAAAGCTGCCACATTGCCTCAGCATTAACAGAGTCTTTAATAAACGCTTAAGAGGCAGCCCCACAAATTAGTTATGACAGTTTGTGCAGAGAATCAGGTCTCCCCCACGCTCCTTCCGCCCTTCTCCTTTAAAGGGCCCATAGCCTGGACAACTTTGACATAATTTTGCAATAATTATCACTTGAAGAATTTCCACGCTGGAGTGGACGTCAGAACCCATCATGTCAGCTTGGCAATAAACGCTGACCAGCAATCCCAGCATTTCCCTCCCCCCACACTTTTTCTTTGCTTTTTCCATGTATGCACTGGTGCTAGTGATTTAACTTACTTACTTGCCACTGTAACCTCGTTTTAGACCTACATATTTTAATTTAATTTTTGCATTTAATTTTGGTGTCTTTCTCAAGCAGGAAATGGACAACCAGCAGTTCCCGGACGGTTCAATCCAGTTCAGGTGAAGCAGGAACCTGTGGAGGCCATGGGATCGTCATCTGCCACCAGTCAGGAGTCCTTGCAGGAGCACAGCTTGGACCTGAGCGTCAAGGATCATGGGTGAGAGAAGTGCACAGGCAGGCAGGCTTAGCTCTTTCCAGCATCGAGCTCTCAGAAGTGTCTGTACCTGTAACATGAGAGGACACAACATGTTGATGAAAGGCAATTTCACAGGGGCTGAGTTGGACACCCCTAAACTGGAGATGGCAGGCTGTCTCTACTCCACTTCAGGTGTATGTTCTCCAGACCTTCTTTTGGGCTAGCAAGTATCTACTGACTCTTTGACAAGAGCCCCTGTGCTCCCCTCTGAAAAACGAGCCACTGGCAGAGCTCCATCCTTCACTTCGATACTCCTGACGTTGTCGTCAAGAGCTGATTGGGGGCTGCTCCAGTGCCACTTCACCACACTTTTAGCAGGAGCATTTGCAGTGATGTAACAGTGCATTGAATTGGGTCTGAGAGGCACCTTCCAGAGAAACTGGACACACAGAACAGTTGGGTAACTCTGGTCTGGGTCTGGCAGGTGCTAATCTATAGTTACAGTGATGAGTCTTTGCACTTGTGCAGATGTGAACGTGCTTCTCTCAAAGCGTGTGGCCACTTGTTCAACATCTCTACTGAGAACAAGAGTGTTTGGGGATTCTCCTGTGTGGGAAAACAGGAGCTGATACTGGGGATAAGCGAGCCTGCTCCGCTTTGACCTTTCTATGCATTCCTTTCCATACTTTATTAAACAACCTTCAGTTTGGGACTCCAGCACTTGTGGTCAACTAGAACTGTTTCTGATGCACGTGAAATGCTAAGGTTGCTTTTCAGCACATGCTTAGCTGTGACCAGAGGCCTTCTCTGCTGCGAGAGGGCCTGTGTCCCTGGCAGCATCAGTCTTCTGTCAGCATCCCCCTGGGTTTTGTGGCCTATTTTTGAAAGTTCTAATGGGATGAAGGAGTAAAACATGGGGTGGGTTGTGAGTCAGCTAATTAAAAAGTGTGATGGTGTGGACACTGAAGGAAGAGGTCAGGGCTATTTTAACAGCTGAAAGAACTAAATTCTGCAAACTTGGGACCCTCTTTCTCTCCATCTTGGCCATCACAAGTAAGAGTTTGGCCTGCCCAAGGGAGGGTGGGCATCATTCTTTGCCTCCGCATGTAGCAGGTGAGGAGTGAGGCAGCTTGAAGGGAGAAGGATTAATCTCAGTGCTCACAGTCCCTGTGCACATCTTAACTAAACCCTGTTGGTTTGTGTGTTCCAGTAATGAATCAAATGGCCACACAGTCTCGGCAAATTCATCTCTTTTATCCTCGCTTATGAATAAGGTAAGAGCCATCCATCAAACGCCTTTCATTCCCCCCACCAAGAGAAATTAAAGCTGCGATGGTGGGGAGGGGGGGGAAGAGATGCGTTTGTTTTTTAATGTTTTGCCTCTAATAAGATGAGTTTGTACCATTTAAATTTTGAGACCATTTTTCATCGGGTATAATTTCAGAGCCACTGCTTACGAATTAATTTAATGAACTGGCTGAAGAAATATATTGCAGCCTCTGACACCTTTTTTTTTTCCATCCTTTCTAGACAGAGGAGGGCTCCAAAAGGGGTTTTTTTTATTATTATTTTTATTTCCAGAACCTGGCAACTTCTCTGTCGCTCTCTTTTTATAGTTACTCATTTTGTTTATTTACTTAAAAACATTTTCTTTTATTGGGGGAAGAGGAGGGGGAGGAGAATAATTTGTTTTCATGAAAGAGAAGAAAAAAATCAGTAGTTTTGAGCCAAAATCATCAATTTCTGTCTTTCTGGTGTGAGTAACGATGTCCAACAGAGCCCACTTTACCATGTTCTAGAATATTTATTTTAGATAATGCACGGTTTCTTTTTCCTTACTTTTTCCTTAAATTATACATCATCTCAAATATATATTTCTCTTTCACATGATAAATTCTACTGTACTGAGATTAATTTTGCTGTTGTGTACAACTGCAGTAGAGATCAGGGCAGCCTTTGAGCCGTGCTTTAATATTCTACCGTGTGATAGGTTTTACAGGCATAACTACTGCCATCCCCTTGGCTCTGGGCGTTAAATGCATCAAGGCCATATAACCCTCAAGAGGGCAACGTGACTTTGTCTAGTAATCTCTCACCTCCTTTCTCTCTTATTTCATCACTCTCTTTTCCCTGTGTTGTTTAATTTCTGTGTTTATCCTTATGCCACTTTTCTCCTCCATTGGCCCTCTGCTACACTGGGTTTTTGATGTTCCCTTTTAAACTTAGTTTTTTAATTTGTTCCTGCGTATTGCCCCTTTAGTGATACCAGATACGCAGCTCTTTCTCCACTGAGTAAATCTGTTCAGTAACTCTGCTGTCTGGGGTCCCCAGCTCAGGGAAATTCTGTTTCAGTAGGTACTTCACATGAAAATCTCCAGGTGAATATGAGATTTAAGTATATGCTTAGAAATAAGCATTTGTTTGTGTGCAGCCCTACCTAAGATTCTTTATGTTGTGCAAAGTTAAGTGTAGCACAGGTACAAAAGATGAGTTCATTGGGTTTGTTCCTTTTTTAAAGAAGGAATGAGATTAACCAATGACATAAACCAGCAAAGCATAGAGCCCACCGATGTGAAGGAGCCTATTCCAAGACTGAGGATTGCAGAATGAACTCAGGAACACATCACACTCGCTTCTTCCTCTTGCTGCACACAGTTTCTGTTTGTGGGGGAACTCTTCATTATTTGTCTAGGAAAAAGAACCCTTTACAGAAGCTGAATGCCCAGCTAACACCGATGGAAAAACACGACCTGAATTTCTGACTCCAGCCATAAAGAGTTGCAGCCTTTACCATAGCAGCAGGGGCTTTACCTTCAGGGAGCATTAAGAGAGCCTCAAATAGCCAGGGTTCCTGTAGCGTATTGCAGTTTATTCAGGGGGGCTGTCAGGATTAATTAACTGATATTTATAAAGGGCTTCGAGATCCTCAAGTGGGTGGAGTTCATAATGCAAGTATTGGGCCCAATTCTGCATTTTATTAATGCTGTGAATGTCACTGTTGTTACTGGAGGTAATTGAGAGCACAACAAAGCAAGAAAGGGTCTGAGAAATTGTTTATTATGAAATAAAAGTTTTTCTCTTAGCACTCTCGAGTAACTTCTTTTTTCTATCCTGCCCATCATACACCTGGACCTCTAAACCTTCTCTGTGTAGAATCTATTTGAAGCCTTTCACACAAGGCAAATTGTTAGCCCAAGTCCTGCTTTGTGGAGCCTGTGTCCATGTAGCACAGAAAGTGACATAATTTCTTTATTGAAGTTAGTAACAATTTTCCAGGAACTTAAATGGAGCCAGAATTTTTCCCCAGCTGAATGAGATTTCTCCCTTCTCACCCCTAAATATACCTGATAGTCACTTTGAAGAAGGAGACATCCTTGTGGCTGGGATAAAATGATTCTAAATAAACTAGTTCTATCATTAGCTCTGTACTAAGAGACCAGCATTTAGTAGGAACTGTGTAGAGTTATTAATGTTTAAGCCTGCACACCTTTTTCCATACTCAAATAGGATATGTCTCTCTTCATCTCAGTTTCCCCAGGTATAAAACAGACATGATGCCTCATTACTGTACACAAGAGCCATGAATATTAGATGGGCACCCCAGTTCTTTGTGATAGTTGGGTGGAGGATGCAGAAGAGTGAGGTGTTACTAAGTTTTGCTGGTGCAGTTGAGGCAGCCTGCGCAGATTTCTTGTCTTCTCTCTTAATCTTTGAAGACACAGCTTTCTGTGGGCCAGTTCTGAGGGTATCCAGGCTGGCAGTGTCCATGGCTGTGTGCTGGCCTTGATGCAGTGTCCTGTGTTCTTGTTCCAGATGTCCAAGAGCAGTGGCAGCCTCGGCAACCTGCTGAACATTAAGACAGAAGGGGAGGGCAGCCAGGCTGGGGCTGGAGAGCCAACACAGTACTTGGGCAAGGCAGTGAAGGCACTTGTCCAGGAGAAGCTCTCTGAGCCATGGAAGATGTACCTGCGCCGGTAAGGAGAGCATGGACCTGGGAATAGGGGAAAGGGAAAATTATTTCCTTTGCAAAGTGTCTGGCTCTTTAGTTCACACTTGAATGCAGAGTTCTCTTGAATTTAAGGGCCTAATTCTGTGATATGCTGATCACCTTCTGGAGAGCATTTAGTCCTCAGTCCCAGCTGGCTGCAGTAGGTGTTAATGCCCTGTAAGAAGTATCTGTCCACGTAGGATGATTTTGGAAAGAGATCTTGAAAGCCAGCTACGAGCACAGATCTTCACACAGTCCTGTTAGCCTAGACTTCATCTTAGGTTCCTCTTTATGTCCCTGGTCTGCAAGTCCAGGAGACCCACTGCAGCTTGCTGTTAGCACTGCACTTCAGTTGGACCACATTTAGTTATTACACACAGATCACAGAAGCCTTAAAACGCTTGCTGTGGCATTTCCTCTGATGAGTAGGCCACTGAAACAACATAAGGGAGTATAAGGGGTACGGGAACTGGGATGGTTTCTGCTGGTTTTATTGTAGACAAGGATACTGGAGAGGAAAATGGAACAGACACAAAACTCACCCACACAGAGACACATGCACACACACGCCCAGACAGACACAGGCTCTGAGCGTACACAGATACACCCAGGCAGACACATACGGGTTTGGGCTCTGACACAGATAGTTGCCTACAAACGCCTGTGGACACTTTGTAAATCACAGGCTTCAGTGGAGAAGACTAGAAAGTCTTCCAGTCCATCTGCCCCTGGCCAGTGTGAGATCCTTCCCTGCAGTCTATTTGCATTTTGTCCAGCCTAGTTTTAATTATGCCAAGCAGTGTGGCTATTTTCTTGTCTCTGGCAGCATTATTCTATCACCTAACACATTTCACCATCACAATTTTTTTTCAGGTTATGCTGCCTGAATTTCCCTTTTTGTAATTTTGTTGCAGTTCTCCTGGTTATATCCCCTTGAACCACAGCGGATAATTCCTCTCTGCAATTGGAGTTCACCCTCTTCAGATAGTCACAGACTTTTAGCATACCATTTAACCAAGCTTATTTACTTCCTTTAATCTGACTTTGCAAATTAGTCTCTTCACCCTGCTGATCATGTTGTTGTTCTTGCCGTTCCCTGAACGGGTGCAGAATTGGGCTGCCATTCCTGTAGCACCACACCAGCTCTAACAAGCTTCCTGCCCCCATATATACAGCTCACAATTGTGTACCTTGTTTGCATCTCTAGTGCATAATGTATATGTATCATGTTTACCATCCCCTGTTACACAGGATTGCTTTTAAAGTTGCTTTCATGAGTCTTCTATGTATAAAAACCCACCCTGCACCCCCCGATGTATTAGCTGTACGTTTCCAAATAGGACACTCCTGTTCTGAACCTTCTCCCTTGTCTTGCAAGGCCTCTGTGTTATTTTTCTCCTCTTGCACTGGTGTTGCCAACTCCTCCCAGTTTAGTATCTTCAGTGAATTTCATTATCGTGCTGTTTACTCCTTCTCCTCGATTACTAATGAAGATGTTAAATAAGCCCAGACCTAACCAAAGTCATCCTTGCAGCGTTCACAAGATGCCTCCTCCCAGCTCAGTATGTTGCTGTTTGTCATTAGCCTTTGTTTACGGTCCTTCAGCCAGTTTTCAATCCATGAGGTAGCATTCACATCCAGGCCAATTTGAATTAATTCTAAGCATATGTGAGACTGTATCAAAATGCTTTACTAAAATCCAAATATATTGCATCCCTTCATCCACTAATTTTGTAATTCTATCAAAAAAAGCAATTAAATTTGTCTTGCAAGATTTATTCTTTATAATCCTGATGCTGTTTATTGCTCATGGTTCCTTTATCCTCTAGATGTTTAATGATTTTCTCCTCCCTCTTAATATTTGTTCCATTACTTTACTGGAAGGAGAAGTTAAGACTAGAGGTATGATAATTGCCAAAGATCACTTGTCCTTTTTTCCCCCCGAAAGAACCAGTACCTAGATTTTTAATAATTTATTTTTTTTCCCAATTTCCTAGTACCTCCCTCTGCTCTGTGGTTTAAAAAATAGCAAGTAGTAATGCAATCAGTTTGTGAGTTAATTTCCATTGCACTTCAGGACATACATCATCCAGACTGGCTGATTTGTACATATTTTCCAACCAGTCCCTTTATCTGCTCTTCTAGAAGGTTTTCATTTTACCCCTAATTGTCTGCTTTGTCTTTAGTTTTCCTGTCCAAAGCAGATTTTATAAGGCACCCATTTTTGACTCATCACCTCCCATTTTTATTGGACCTTCTTTCTAAGTACAATACCTCTTGTCTCTGATAAAACAACCCTTTGGCTTGCAATAACTTGGTTTCTCATCTCTTACCACACCTTTACTTTCCTTCACCTTCTCCCTGCAAGCCTTAACTGACCGTGTGTGTTCTGTGTCTACTGACCTCCCTTCTCCAGTACAATTTTTTTTCTTTTTCCTTTGCCCTCAAATTGTTAGGAGGTCCCTCCTGAGACCCCACAGCCTGCTGTTTGTTTCTTCCTTTCCCGCTCATCAGAGCAATTGTAGTTTGTTGTATTTTAATTATGCAAGATTCCCCTGTTAAGTTTCAGATCCTTCCTGCCAGTGTTTTTCACTTAATTTCTCGATTACCTGTGATTCTGGAGTTTTCCTGAAATTACATGTATTTGTGCTACTCTTACTCAGTCTGGAGAATCTCAGCAGGGGATGAGCAGTGAAACCATGCTTAGTTGTTTTTACCCTTTTGACTGTTTGTCATCTAAGATATGATGAGACTTGTCACCTAAGATATGACAAGAGGCACATCTTAAATGATGACTTTTGCTCTGCGTGTTCAGATCTATATAACAGGCAATAATGAAGCAACAATGCCAGCAGTGCTGTTTGTGCAGCAGGGACAGTGACATTAGAAAAGAGAATGGTAGTAGAGTTGAAAAACCAAGAAAATATGTCTGTTCCAACACCACTTCTCTTCTGGGGCCCTCAGTAAGATGCCTGTTTGTCTGCTTTGGCCAGGTTTGGTACCAAGGATTTCTGCGATGCGCAGTGTGACTTTCTCCATAAGGTGCATTTCCACTGTGTCGTGGAGGAATGCGGTGCCCTCTTCAGCACCCTGGATGGAGCCATCAAGCACGCCAAGTAAGTAGGAGAGCGCACATCTCGGGAAACCTTGAGAAAACTCTACACCACACACACTGCAGGATGAGAGAGACCTTACTGAGTAACTGTGCAAGAGCAGGAACGTGGGCAGTCCTGAGGGCAGCAATTTGGACTTCCACATGCTTCCTGTGTAAATGTGCTCAGCTAAAATTTTTGCAGAACACTATGTTCTCTTTAATTTAATTTCACAATAAATGCTCTCAACTTGTGAAAAGAGGTGTCTCTGACGGTGTTGGCAAGGCTGAGAATTGGACATTTTGTGTTTTTTCCATAGCCTACTTGACAGTGTTGTTCAAGAAGACCCGTATTTCTCACAGCACACAAATACAATGTACAAAGAAATAAGAAAATATGAGAGGATCCTGTAAACCCAACCATTGTCACTGGATACAGACGGCTCTCCATCACTGCAGTGTAGAAAGCATTTTATTGTTCTTCGTCTTGTCATGACAAATCCCTTTAACTAGTTTTCCCCAGCCCTTAGTTTCTATGGTTTTGTTTAAGAGGTTCACATCATGTGGATAAAGATCTTGAAATTAAGTAGACAAACTGTCCAGCCCAACAGCAACCTCCTTCTCACCTTGCCATGTTTTGTATTGTAAACCCTTTGTCATTTCACATAATTTTGGATAGTAGACAGCCCAGAGTTGGGTGGCCAGAACTGTAGGCTGGATAATACTAGTTACAGGCAGTGGACAAGGATTTATGTCTGAATTACACTGTCTTTTTGCAGTTTTCACTTCCGAACTGAGGGTGGAACTGTGAAAAGTAACTCTGAGTCTCCCTTCTCAACTACTACTGAGAATAAGGCTTCACTGGCCCCTTCGTCACCATCTGCTGCTTCTGTCACCATGGCAAGTGCTCCTGCCCTCGATGTGCCCACTCCAAGTCCAGCCACTGTTCCCTCTGCCCCCACACTGCTAGCTTGGAAGCAGCTGGCTTCAACCATACCCCAGATGCCTCAGATCCCAGCATCAGTGCCTAACCTGGCAACTTCACCCTTGGCAACGACTTCCCTGGAGAATGCCAAGCCTCAGGTCAAACCCGGATTTCTCCAGTTCCAGGAGAAGTAAGTTGTAGATGCTGCTTGTCTCCTTGTGTCCTCTCCAGCCTTTAAATCCCCTCTTTACTGCTCCTCAGAGCTGTAGTACTACAACTGTATTCACCCACTGAGAGACCTTCTGTCTAGAAAGTACTCTGGGCTTTATCTCACAGATTATTTACTTCTATAAAGTCTAGAAAATACCTTCAGTTATCCTAGGGAAAAAACAATTTTTGAGTACATATGGGAGCACTTTCAGGTATGAGTTTATAGGAGAAATAAACTTGCTGACCTATCAGTGAAGCCTTTTTTATACCTCAAGAGAGGTGTACAGAAATATATGCATCTTTGCAGTATTTTTGACACTGAAGGCTAGAGAGGAAGTGTAGCATCTTTAAAGTTTTCTGGATGAAACCTGAGTCACCCACCTCCAGATCTTGCTGCAAGTCTGAGGCTTCTGCCACTGAGACTACAACGTCAGTAGTTGAGCAGAAATCAGTGGGCAGCTGAGTGCTCAGTCATGCAAAGGTGAGGTGTTCCTGCAGCAGAGTACACAGAATTAACTAAGAGTAGATGTTTACAGATTGCTGAAAAGGAAGCTTAGTGGATTTCTCCTGGATTTGTCCCTAGTAAGCTCTGTGGCCTTTTCCTAGCAATGCCATCTGTAACTCGGAATACAGCTGCTTTTTTTTTTTTTTTCAGTGAAGAAGACTGGGGGTCAGATAGTGGAGGGGGCACAAGAGCTTGGACTCTGCCTTACCAGAAAAAGGTCTCTCAGCAGCTCTAGGAAGAGGGAGCAGTGCTCGCTCACTTCTGATTTGTCAAAGTTTTGCTGTCCTGGCCAAACTTCCATACCAGTGTCATGATTCTCCTTAAATTCTGTGCATCTGCTTTTGTAGTGTTAGTTTACAGAGTAATTGACAAGGGAGGTGTTTGGCAGAAGGTAACATACCTTGCTGAACTACTTCTAAAACAAGAAAGAAGCTTCACAGCGTTGCTGTGATGAGGGTGTTTCTGTTACATAGACAGAAAAGGGCACAGAAGTTCTGTGCTTGCAGGACACAAGAGCCCAGGATCAGGTCAGACATCACAACTTAGTTATTCAGGCTGGTGGATTATCAGTCTCTGGGTCGTGTATTGCCATTTGTCTGCTTTCAGATATCTGAGTAGGTGCCACTGGGTACAGTGCTTGGGATCCTAGAGATCAATCTTCAGCTACCTCTGTTTGTGCAGCCAGAAATCCACGGAAAGGGTGGGGGCAGTAAGGTACCAAAACCATTTAGCCGATTAAATAGGCCACTGCCAGTTTTCGGGGGAAGCCCTGGCAGTGTGCATGCCCAAGTGTTTCATTTCAGTTACACAGAACTGAGATGGCAGAAACCATCTGAACCCACTGAGGTAAGTACAGGCAGAAGGGAAGAAACAGCATTAGAGAGCTTTAGATTGGAAGTGTGGCCCTCAAAGACTACAGAACCCACCATGCACTGCTGTATTTTGATAATCTTGATTGAGAAAGTGCACTAGCTTGGTGCAGTTGCAGTAGTGTTGCCAGCATCAGTTTTACTAAGGAGGAAGGTGGGTATGGGAAATCCGTAGGCCATGTTTGGAACAGAGGCTTCAGCTGGGCTCCCCTTGAATTAAATTTTGGCAAAGAAACAAATGTGTGAAATGAGTGAAGGTGATGATTGAGTTTTGGATTTATTCCAGTGATCCCTGCCTGGCAACGGACTGCAAGTACGCCAACAAATTCCACTTCCACTGTCTCTTTGGGAACTGCAAGTATGTGTGCAAAACCTCTGGCAAAGCAGAATCCCACTGCCTGGACCACATCAACCCCAACAATAATCTGGTGAATGTGCGAGACCAGTTTGCTTATTATTCGCTGCAGTGTCTCTGTCCGAACCAGGTAAGAACAATTCAGCAGCTGTGTTCTAGCCAGAGCGTGTGTGCGGGAGAAGAATGGGAAAGAGCAGGTAGACCACCCGACAGCAAGTGAGGCTGAGTGTAACTGCAGAATCACGGAAGGGCGTTAATTATGTGGTCTAGCAAAGTATTTGGTTTCCATCAAATTGAAAATCACACTGCTTTTATGTTTCTTTGACTTGGGTGAAGTGGACAAGGCAACTAGAATGATCTAAGAGACATCTATGATGAATACCAGGGAAAGTCGAGTTAGGGTTGGGTTAGTTCAGCACAGAATAGTGCAATACAGAATACGTGACAGTGATACAAAATACATGACAGGGAAGAAGTTTGCATTGCAGCCTGTGGAAGATAAAGTGGATGTGATCTAGAGCATCAGTTCAGAGGGACAGCATTAGTAGCAGGTGGATGAGAGTGCATTTGTTTTAGATATGCTTAAAGCAACCTGCCTGTTTGCTCCTCTCCAGCACTGTGAATTCAGGATGCGAGGGCATTACCACTGTCTTCGTCCTGGCTGCTACTTTGTGACTAACATCACCACCAAGCTGCCCTGGCACGTGAAAAAACATGAGAAGGCAGAGAGGAGGGCAGCCAATGGCTTCAAGTATTTTACCAAGCGAGAAGAGTGTGGCAGACTAGGTGAGTTTTCTTCTCTTTCCTCAATCACCTTTCTCATGTGGTCTGTCCCATGTCCAGGCTAAGAATGCCATGAGTTAGAGCTTAAGATTTGGACATTAAATCACAAAACAAGAAATGGAACAAAACAGAAAGCAGTTCCTGATCTGCCTGAGTTGAAGCATGTTTTCCCAAATAGACACGAGTTAAATGGACAGAAGCTGTAATGTAGAGGATTATATATATATATATATACACACACACCTATCTCTGTATTTGTCTAGAGCTACAGCTTCCCCTTTTTTTTTCCTTTTTATCTAATTGTCAAGGCCTTTTTTTTGTTTGTTTGCATTTTTTTTTTTACTTTGTACTCTTTTGGGCCTAGTGCTTGTGTTGGGTGGAGTTTAAGGGTGCTCTTAGGAGTTAAAAAAAAAAAAAGCACGGGGGAAATGCCTGTTGTGATGAGCGCCTTGTGTGAAGGTCTTCCTGTATCAAGGAGGCTGCTGCTTTCCCTGATTCCAGACAGCCTCAAATTAAACCTTTTTTTTTTAAGCCATTACCAGTGCAGCTTATTGAAAGCCAAAGGGCAAATAACCAGAGATAGAGGTGTGGAGTAGTAGTTCAATAAACTACTCCCTTCTCCTCCAAAACTGTTTTCTACAGCCACTTGTGAGCAGCAGTAATGCAGCGCTGTGTCTTTGTGCCAGCCTCCCACCAGAGCACGGCCTCAGGAAACACCTGAGATGCGGCTCAGCCTCAGACTGTGGCTTGCCCACTTGCCAAAACTATTAGCAGCACTGCAGTAGTTATTAAATCTTAAGTGCCTCTAGTGTAAAGCTGGTAAAACAAACGCACAACAAGAGAGTAGAACGCGTTCCCGGGGAGGTAGCTGGAGCTGAAATCCAGGGATTGGATCTGGGGGGAATCCCTCAAGGTGGCTCCAGCAGAGCTCAGACTGCCTGCGATTCACTTAACCCTTCTAGGTGTGTTTTGGCTTAACAGTGTCACAGGCCCAGTCCTCCCTGGTGCTCCTGGTTGGAACAAAGGCTGAAACAAAACCGGGGTGCAGAATAACTCTGGGTGCTGTTCTCTCACATAGCAGGGAAACCACCACAATAACCAGAACCAAACTTTACTTTTCAGCTTTGAATACATCAAGAATTTATACCCAAATGGTAGCTTGTTTGTGGTAACCAGGGTAATGAGCGTCAACACACCACAGCCAGTACTTACCTAGGGCTCATTTACACATGTCAGGAGATTCAGCAGTTGCTGTTATTTACTCAACTTTTAGGTGTTTCAGGTGATAGCAGGGGCTAGACAAAGCAGGACAATGATATATGACACCCAGCCTACACAGCCGCCCTGGCAACAGGCGAGCCTTCACCTGCCCTTTGCTGATACTGTTTCAGTCCCGCCAGCACTGTTTGTTCTGCATCCCAAAGAACAGTGCAGCGTGCTGGGGAGGGCAGGTGAGGTGGGGCTGTGGGGGAGTGCGGTACCTAAACAAACATAAACTTGGCATGCACATAAAACGCTATCTGTGAGCTAAAGATGGGCTGGGTGATTCAGGAGCTGTTTGGCAGCGAGGCATCTGCAGGCTGTGCGTGTGTCAGCAGCATTTATTTTTGGGAGCAGTGGGGTACATGCAGCCAGCAGTATGTACACAGGCCTATAGGTTGGGCTTGCTGTGCAGTAAACATGTGTTTAGCCAGCATTCTGCGTTTGCCTGTGTAGACACAGGCAGTATGATGGGCTGGTGTAGGTGTATATGGTTACACCAACGTGTAAATGCACGTCTCCTTCTCTGTCCATCTCTGTGCTTTTTATGTTGCATATGTATATATAGCAGGTGCAGAAAACTGGTGAATGTTTCTGAACAGGATAATTTTTTTTTTAATATGTATGGTTGTGCACGTATAAATACATGCACACATGTATGGGTGGAGAGAGATGAAACATACATATATAAGTAAAGGTGGATGGGTGTAGACAGACGAGTAAAACAGCCTGTCTGTAGGTCTGTACCCCTGTGTAAGGGTGTGGCCAAGGGATGATGGAGAGCAGACAGAGCTGATTATAGATCTAGCTGTGTTTTAACTGCAATGAGGCATTATTTATCAGCTATAGAATGTAGCTGTTTAGGATGCCTGTTAATGAGATACACAAACTCCCAGCATGGCTGGCAGTCCATGAGGAGCTAACTGTGTCAAGCGCTATATGCCAGCACCCATATAGATAGCTTGTTGTTTAGGAGCTGCCCCTGTTACACAATAAATCTGGAGTGGCAAAAAACACTTCCTGGCTCATTTCTATCTGACCAGAGAGCGTACGCTGTCCAGAGACAGAGCTTTCAAGAGACTGCTTTTCTGAGAGCACAGTTAAAGGCAAAAAGAGAAAAAGAACTTTTCATTGCTAATCTTAATTATGAGCATGTATTTTTGATTGTAACTTGTATGATACAGTTAAATGTCTTGGTTTTGTTCTCTTTATAAAGGAAGAGGCACTAGCTAAGACTGGAGAGCATTAGGCACTACTAGATGTAATGGTACTGTTCCTTTCTTTATCACAAAATAAAGAGGGATGGGACTAGTCTGCAGCTCAGGCTCACTTTTTCAGCCTGTACACTGTAACCCTCTCTTGCAGTTGCTCAGCAGGCAAAAGATCATGGTTTTTTTTTTCATTCAGGACTGCTCCTGAAGAACCTGTGATCACTGATAATCTTCAATCCACCAGAAATCCATGTAGCAGCAGCCTTGTCCCATCTCCAGATCATTGTCCCTACGGTCCCTTTCCCTCTTGGTACCTTTCATGTCCTACATATAGTGCTTTTGTATCTATAGGTTGCAAATACAACCAGGTGAACAGCCACTTCCACTGCATTCGAGAGGGCTGCCAGTTCTCCTTCCTGCTCAAGCACCAAATGACATCCCATGCTAGAAAGCACATGAGAAGGATGCTGGGGAAGAACTTTGATCGTGTTCCTACTCAGGTAACTTCACTGGTTATTTAACACATGTAGTGTTGTTTCTTTAATTGCGTGCTGTAGAACTGCTGCAGTGCCAAGATACTCGTACCCAAAGGGTTAAGGATCCATGTCTGCACTGGGGGATGCTAGTTTTACCTGGCTGGACTCCTACAGTACAAGAAAAGATGGTGAAGCATAAACAGCAAAGCTTTACTTAGTGTCACTAGCTTTTCCTTGAATTATGGAGAAAAAAAAAATTCAGAAGGATAACATTAAAATACTCATATTTACAGCTTGCACACTCTGCTCTCTCAATATACACCAATTGGCTTATTAAAATTAAAGTGCTTAGGATGTGGAAGAACTGAACGTGCTGGTTAAAGCAAACATTTCCTGTTGCACATTAAGAATTATTTGCTGCTTCCACCTAGGATGGCAGAAATACCAGTCCCAAAATTTCTCTTCCCTTACTGATCTAGTTAGTCCTCTCTCAGGAAGCAGCAGAGCAATGCAGTGGCTTCTTTTCTGACACACAACTGACAGCAACTGGGAGATCAGGTTTGTCTGTTTCACAAATACACTGAACAGTTCCAATTGCAGCACTGAGCTGCTGCTCAGAACGGCAGCGGTCCGGCAAGCTCCTGCTGGTTCTTCTGCCTTAGCTGCTTTAACCCCATTGACTTGGGAGATGAAACAAGCTAGTTTTGTTTAAATGCCTGTGACTGATCTGACCCTACGGACATCTGGTATATAAAAAACAAAAGGAATCATCTGTAGATGCAAGATGGGAAACCCCCTTTCATTCCACAACGTGGGAATGAGAGGTGCCTATTAGTTATGAAGTACTGTCAATAAGTTAATTGTTCAAGTCTACTGCTGTTGGATTTAATGAGTTCACAGATGCCAAGGAACTGGTGTTACTGTTGTGGTGGCTTTTATTCTGAACACAAAAAGCTTAGGTAAAACAATCACTTAGGAGAGGTTTAACAAATAGATTTGTCTTCACTACTCTTCTAGTACATGCTGAGTCTAGCCCTAAGAATTCTAGTACATGCTGAGCAGAAAATGCTAGTTTTGACCTCCATCTCCTCGCTTCAGCAGTGGGAAAGTAGTAATTGTGGCCTGAGCAGTCCCGGGAGCGTACAGTGCTAGTCTGACTCTACTGCTGTGCTTGGCAGTCCAGCAAACAACAAAAGATGAAACTACAAATCAGGGCCTGTGGCAAAGCTAACCCGACCGCTGTGCTGCCGCTGCTGCCTCTCTGCATCTAAACTGTCCTAACTCCAGTCTTTCCCTTTCCTTAGCGCTCAGTAGGCACTTAGTGGTGTGTTTGGATATATGTTGCTGCTGGGTACCCACCCATGTAACTATCCAGAGAAGACTGTGCCAGGCCACAACAGCTTAGCTGCGTGTTGTGTCCACAGCGTACGCGTACGTCGCTGCTTCCAGCCTGTGTCCCCCTCTCGCAGTGTCTCAGGGCGCAGGCGCGAGGACAGTCATGGCAGTTGTACTGCCGGGCTCTAAATGCAGCAGGACCTACACAGTAAGGTAGCAATGCCAGGATTAACACCTCCTGGTTTTGAATGCATCAGAATCCACACAACAGGATTCTGGTGCCAAGATTAACACTCCCAGCCTCTGAGCACATCACAATTCACATGCCAGGATACATGTGCCAAGTTTAGAGCTCCCAGTGAAGGAAGATTCACGCTCCTAGCCACAGTGCCATGGGTTCCACTCACGAGCATGTTCCAACTATCCCTCGTGAACTGTGGCAGAGAAAGAAACGTGCAGACAGATGGGTTTGGTCTTGGCATCTTGCTTTTGGTGTGAAAATCCCTGTCCTGTTTCCTTGCTGCAGGTTATTGGCCACACTCCAAGAAATGAAAATCTCCCCCAGGTTGGCAGCATGGCACCCAGCCCAGCCTCATCAGGAACCCCAGCTTCCTTTCAGGGACCCCCGAGCATGATGGACACGGAAACAGATGAGTATATGGACTACACTGGCTGTAGCCCTGGGGGCATCTCCTCTGAATCTTCCAATATGGACCGCAGCTGCTCCAGCACTCCAGTGGGCAATGAAAGTACATCAGCAGGTAAGAGAGAAGGGAGGGAGGGGGTGTGTGAAATGGATCATCAGTTGCGTGCTCTCTTGGGAGATAAGCTCAGGAAGAGAGGCCAAGGGACAACTGCACCTTAAAATACAAACTGTACCAGCTTCACAATAGTGCCTCGTACTAACCTAGCTCCCTCCACCATCTCTGAGAAGAGATCCATCAAAATGTGCACCTCGAGCATCCATGAACTAACAGTGTATCTTTTTTCTCCCTTGAGGAGAGGTTTTTATTCTGTGTCTTGGAGTTGGATGTATTTTAATAACTGATGTAAAAAAAACCCAAAAAAAACCACCAAACACTTGTGGGCCTGTTCCGTACTGGGCATTTCCCCTGATATCCCTTTGTATTTCCTTGTGCAACATCTGAAGTCAGGCACTTTCCTATACTGTTGAGCTACAAAAAGACTGTACAATAACAAATATTATATACACGGAGGAAAAAAACCTCCCACATCTTCAGAACTCAACATAAAAAAGCAGCTCACTGAGCTCCCTTCCTCATGTGAAAACTCTTGTTCCACTTTGTGCAGTGTTGCACAGAGGAAACCTCCATCCTCCCCTCTTTTTTGGAAGTAAGTTTCTGCCATTGTTTCCTGTTTGCCAGGATAATGTGTAGCCATCTCCCACTGCCCTGTATTCAGGGTTATCTGTTCAGTAGTCAGCTACCTTGTATGGATTCTGTTATCATCTCGTGGTGATCCGGAGATCTCTTAGCTGTCCTTCCCAGGGTTAAATGTTACATTCTAGGCAGGCTGCCTCACTGAGTTTGCTTTAATTTTGTACACATTTTCCTATTTTTCTTTCCCACACCAGTTAGATGAAGGTTATGATACAGCACATCTAACAGTATGTTGTATGAACACTGCTGGGTCATGACAGTGGTTGCCCCATGACATTAAAGCTCCTCCAGAGAGTTCTGGTGGGATGCTGGCTCCTGGCACTCTCCTGTGTCACTGTGCTGTCTGGCTCGAGTCACACTCCTAGGAAGTGTCCCCCCACCACTACCCAGTAGTGAGCAACTTCACCTGCCCAGAGTACAGGACCACCCTTTACAGATATTAGTTGGTACAAGCTGGCACCATATACATCAACAAGGACCAAACAAGCAGGAATTTCTGCAGGAAGCCTGTGGCTCTTCCCCATGCCACTAAAACCACCTTACCTTCTGCAGGGACAACCCTCCTCTTCTGATGCTGTCAGTTCCTCACCTTCTGTTTCTTCTCTGTTACAGTTCTGTTTCATACATTTGTGAATGTATTTTCCATTTTCATCATATTGCTTCTGCTCTTGGGTTCTCATTTCAGTTCTTTTTTGTTTTGTTTTGTTTGTTTTCATTTGGTTTTGTTGTTTTGTTTATTTTTCTTTCTTTTTTTTTTCTGCTTTTTTTCTCTCCACATTCTCCAGGCTGCCTGGTACCTTCTACTGCTACTGCTGCTGCTGATGATGCCCACAATGCACCACAACCTCAACCACCATCTCTGCCTCCATCTTTCTCACAAGCCCTGCTTAGGTCTCCCCTTCCCACCCTCCCCTATCTTTTCTCTCCATCTTGTCTCTCATACTCTCTGCTCAGTGCCACTCTTGGATCCAGCAGAGGCATTGTCATGCCTGCCGCCAGCACCGCTGGGTTTTCGCCCATCATTGCCACTCCAACTCCAGTAAAAAGTGACGTTCCCTTAGTTCAGGATGCAGCAGGTAACACTTCTTTGCTTTCTCCCCTAGTGTCCTGTGCCCACCTCCTTCCCCACTCACCCTGCCCACATGTTTGGTTTTTTTTTCTGCACCTTTGGGTCAGTAATCGGTGTCACTCTGTGTCTTACTTAACTTTATTTGAGGGCCTGTCCTTGCCTACTCCTTTTGTCTGCTGACACAGTAACCACAGCTGAGCAGGGTAACCAGACCACAGCAAATCACTGAGACACTGGGATACCTGAGAACAGTTTCCACCAATTCCAAACTATGAGAAGAAAATCTATCAAAATCCATAGGTTAAATGCACTTTCAGCCTTGTGGCCACAGAGCAAACTTTTGCTCATGTAGCATGAATGGGACCTGGAATTCTTGTCCAGATCTTCCAGGCCACCCAGCCCAGTGCCCACCATAGTCTGCTGCACACATCTCAGCAGGTAAATGTCTGACAGGGTACCCAGTTCCCGTGTTTTTGTAGATCTTTTAAGCTTCACTACTTCCTACTCCTAGACAAAGCCATAAAATTCAGGGCTGCTTTCCCCAGCACAAGTAACAGACTGAAGTACGGTCAGTGTCGCTACAATGACATCATCAGACAGCTCAGGCTGTTTCTCACACTCACTGTTACTTACATCTGCTCTTAACAGCTGCAGAAAATACATCTAGGTTTGTAGTTCTAAGCTGCCATGTTTCCCATGTGTGACCAAGATCTGAGATGTCTCAGGCTGGGGATTCTCATTCCAGCTGGGAATGTTTTTAGGGTGTGTCTCAGTTTTGGCTTCTTTTCCCAACTCTCAGCTCTTTTCTAGTTAATTAAGGGCATATTTGTGCTTAAAGTTCACCCTTAAGAGGATTCTGGCAGCCTACAAATGTCCCAGTCATTCTTCCTGCCAGTGTTAGTAATGTGCAAATCCAGGAGAATGGTTGGGAGTGTGGCTGCAAGACCAACTCCACTTGGAAGTTCAGAGGTTTTTCCTCATGGGACTTGGCAGGAGAAGGATCCTTGCCCTGTCCAGAGGAGTGTGTGCCAATGAACAAAATACACAAGAAACTATATTTTTGCTTCTCTTTTTTTTAAACTGATTTGCATGCAACCTGTAACATCTTACCTTTGTGCTGTGCTTTCCTCTAATGACATATTTTAAAGTTTATTTTCTTTTTACCTTTGGATAGTTTAGTGAATGTTTACATTATTAGAAGTTGAGAAGACAAGCTTATGGCATGTACTTACCATTGAGATTTGCTTGGGATTAAATCTGTTGAGGCTTGTTATCTTCAGTTGGGTGCTGGGGACTGAAGGTTGTCTAGTGGCTAAAAGGGGAGAGTGTACCAGGTTATCATCTCTTTTTCATACCCTTGCTCTGAAGCTTTGCCTGTATGAGAAAACAAAATTAGTTTAACTGAAGGTTCAAGCACATCTGTTTGACCTGTTATAAAGGCTAGGCAGATACATTGAGTTTAGAACAGGTAAAATTTAAATTCTACTTATTTCTCATCCAGAGTCTTTCCCCAAAGCTGGCTTATCCCATACTCCTGTCTGAAGGCAGACAAGATGAGCATTCATACTAATGATAAAAGACTTGATGGTTTGGCTTTTTTTGGCTGTAATTATTTTTAAAAGAAAAAGTAAGGAGTTGATCTGGATAGCAGCGATTTGTCCAGGCAGCGATGCACTGTCGCCTGGAGGCGGAGAACTCGATTTTACAATACCAGATGTTTGGGGTGGGGGGAGCAGAGAGTAATTGGTCACAGATTCTATAGCTGAGAGCTTGCTAATTTAAAATCTACAGTGACAGAAAGTTGTTCTTTCACTGGTAGCTGGTTAAATTAGCCTTAGCGTGCAGTTTCCACCAGCTCCATGTCACTGAGATGGTCTCACCATGGATGCCCCAAGCCGGTGTCCTTCTTTGCAGTCTGAGCTAAAGTGCCATTTGTTAATGGGTGCAGAAAAATCTTCTGTTCTTTGCTTACCCTGCAGTCTGCAGCCCGGCCAGGCGAGCCGTGCCCATGAGGCTGCTGCCACCATTTCAGTCCAGTGCCAGTGTAACTTTTGGAGGCTTCCTTCATTGATTGCCACCTTCTCTTAAAGGGCCAGATATGGCAAAAATAGCATTCCTGACTTCTAATACCAGCTTATCAGCCAGGAAAAAAAATAAAAATTGTACAGCAGTCAAACAGATGACTGTTTCTTCAGTCTCCTAGACAAGGATGCAAGCTGCTCTGGATTCGCAGGCCCCAGGCACTGCATGTCACAAATCATGCCTCTTTTTAAGAGGATGGCAGTTTCAGCATGAAGAGAGGAGGGGGGGGAGAAAAAGAAGTAGTATGTTTTAGTTGCAAGCTATAATTTCCAATTACACTCACCATTCTGCACCTGGTGAGAAATTCTTGCCTCCAACCTTGTCTGTGCTGCGTGTTGATACTGGAGATTGTGGTTTGATTCTGAAAATAGCAAGCAGAGAATAAAAAAAAAGTTAATAGATATAATGAGGTCGAGTCCTTGATGTCAGCTTGATCCTAGGGGACGCGAGCACTAGCCAGTTATGCTGGCCCTGTGAATGAAAGTGGAAGATAGATGAGGGCTCTTTATTTACTAGGGGCATCATGTGATTTTTGAGACCCAAGGGAAAGCTGTGGAACTGGTATTTTCTCTCGGAGTCCACTGGCTAGTGATGATGAGAATTAGCCCCATTGAACATCTGTCCATCTGTCTTTCTAAGTGCACTCATCGTAATATGTAGGCTCATTACAGTGAGGGATGTTGCAGTCTCCTGGCCAAAGTCCATCCTATTTCTATAAATTCCCCCCCCTTGCAGTTTTAATCACGCATGGGATCTTCCTTCACTTCCTGGCTGTCCTTGGCAATTGTAGTGTATTACAGGAGCCTGGAGAGGGGAAAACAGTGATACACAGACCAGTTGTTAGCATGCTTAAACTCTATTACCACCCCAACCCCAGTGAACTAAAGTAAAACACCTCAGTCCTTGGGTTGGAACACACCAGCTCCTCCCCATTGAAGTCTGATTTGAGGAAAATAGAACTAGAGATCAGCTAAGCAGAAGGAGAAGCTGTGAGAGTCACAAAACAGAAGCAAGAGTTAGCGGTTGGACAACGTCAATGTACGAGAGCAGCAATTAGAAGTAGGATATGCTGAAAACTGAGGAAGCCACGTGCAGCCAGCATCAGCCAGCCCATGATCCCGGAGTTCAGGCTTACGTAGAGCTTGAGGGATGAGCTGCTGGGTGGGGACAGTTGCAGTACAGTGTCTTGGCAAATACAGAGCTTGCCAGGATGGTTAGGAGATGAGGAGAGACCTGGCTGTCAGCAACACCACTCTCTGCTTTTTGTCCTCAGGGAATACCATCACTATGCCAACTGCCTCGGGGGCCAAAAAGCGTTTCTGGATTATTGAGGACATGTCCCCGTTTGGCAAGCGCCGCAAGACCGCATCCTCACGCAAGATGCTGGATGAAGGGATGATGCTGGAGGGATTTCGGCGCTATGACCTCTACGAGGACTGCAAGGACTCCAGCTGCCAGTTCTCTCTCAAGGTTACCCACTACCATTGCACGCGGGAGAACTGTGGCTACAAGTTCTGCGGCCGCACCCACATGTATAAGCACGCCCAGCACCACGATCGCGTTGACAACCTGGTATTGGATGATTTCAAACGCTTCAAGTCTTCACTGAGTTGCAACTTCCCAGACTGTCAGTTCTCTGGCAATAGCACACACTTCCACTGTCTGCGCTGTGGCTTCCGCTGCACTGACAGCACCAAGGTGACAGCCCACCGTAAGCACCACGGCAAGCAGGACGTCATCAGCGCTGCTGGCTTCTGCCAGTTCAGCTCAAGCGTGGACTGCGAGGTGCCAGACTGCAAGTACAAACTCAAGTGCTCCCACTTCCATTGCACCTACCCTGGCTGCAAACACACAGTGGTGGGCATGTCACAGATGGACTCACACAAGCGCAAACACGAGAAGCAGGAGCGAGGGGAGCTTCCTGCCATCTCTCCTGGCCCCGAGGGCCTTGCCCACTCCACTCTCGAGTATGACATCCAGAACTCTTCCATCAACCTGGACAGTTCCCTCAACCTCAGCACTGACAACAACAGCTCCCTCTTCTTCCTGCAGAATGCGGCTGGTGTGGGCCTCAATGATTCCCTGGACCTCAGCAAGAAGCAGTCAGAAGTCACTGAAGGTCCATCACCGAGCAGAGCTGGGACCGCGCCTCAGGAGAGGGGTGCGGTGGCATCTGGCTCTGGTGATGTGGAGGACGAGGATGACTCTTCCCAAGAGGATGAAGAGGATGATGAGGAGGAGATGAATGAAGAAGAGGAGGATGATGAAGAGGAGGATGATGATGACGACGATGAGGAGGATGATGAAGAGGAAGACCTGAACACGGATTCTGAAGAATCGCTGCCTGACCCTGAGGGCTTGGCCACTAAAGAAGATGGAGAACCAGAGGAGGTTGCTTCTTCCACAGACCATGGCGATGCTTCCAGGCCACAGGGTGAGCCAGCCCTTACTCCAGCCCCAGCTCCTGCTCCAGCCCCAGCCGCTGCCCCAGCCTCTGCCATTGCTCCAGAAGCTTCTCCTTAATCTTAGAGACAACAGCGGCAGTGGTTTGGTTTTGCTCTTACACAGAATTACTAAGAGGACCCCATATGAGGCAAGAACAAAGATTGGGATGGCAAGTGGAAAACAAACTCCATGCCACACACACGAGAGAGAGAGGAAGGAAGGAACCCCATGCTCCTCCGCAGGCCCCGTAAGACAGACAGGTTGGCAGCAGGACTGGTGCTGCATCACTTCATTCTGCACTGACAGGACATGGGGGCAGGATGCAGCGAAAAACACCCTTTTATCTGGACACGAACCTTGAGGGTACCAGCTGCTTTTCCTTGCTCCCTGCATGGTGCGTGGGGCCTGTGCCCATCTGGGGACCCTTTGTTATGGGTGGGGCTCTATCCCCCCATTTTTCTTTCTGGGTTTTATTTTTCCATGTTTTCAGTTGTACGATATTAATAATAATCTCCACTTCTTGGAGGGGGGTGGGTGGGAACAACAGGTAATGAATTTTAGAGCTATATATTTGTGTGTGTGTCTCGCTCTCTATATATAATGTACACACACACACACATATATAAAATTCAAGGAATTGGTGTCACAAAGAGAACTAGCTCAGCTTTTGCCAGTGGGAAGGAGGGGGTGAGGGGTGCACGTGCTCTCTCTCCACCCCTCCCCCCTTCTTTCTCCAGCATTAAATGAATGGCATCAGACAGCAAGGGTGGGAGTGGGTATTTATTGTCACATAAATGAGGACGCATTAATGAATGAGCAGGGGTGGGAATGGGACACTCCTCTGTTCTTCCAGATCCTTTTTACTATTAATGATAATAATTTTGAATGCTATTTATATTGTAAAACTTTCTCAGTCTACACTTTCTCTGTAGGACACCTCTCCTCATCCCTGCTGTTCTGCCTATAGGGATTTAGCTGAAGTAATTTGGGAAGAAGGCAGCGGGCAGTTAAAGGGTCTGTCACACTGGAGGACTGGGGTTAATCTCCCATCCAGTTCCATCTCATCCCAACCCCCAGGTGCTTCCTCTCTGTTGAGGGTGAGGCGTTTTTGTGGTGCTTCAGTATCCCCATCTCAGGAGGTTGTGAGCTGACACTCTGGCCCACGGTGCAGCACAAGGAGCACCGTGCTCACAGAAGAGTGTCCTGGCCTTGAATATACTACTTGCTCTCTGACCCAAGCAGTCGTACAAGGACAGGTATGTCCTTCGTCCCCCAGCCCTTGTCCCCAGCCTTTTACTGGGGATGGGCAAGTCTGTCTGCAGGGACTGACAGGGATCTCGGGTGACTTCTGGGAGAGGGAGAAGGCAGACGAACACTCAGGATCCCACTCTGGGATGTCCTGCTCAGACTGGGGGCCTCTTCTGCTCAGCACTGGGGCAGGGAGGGGGGGGCAACACTGTCCTGCAGCACCTGTGTAGCTATTGCCCCCGTCATGGTTTTTGCAGTTACAGAGGACTCGGAGACGGGGAGATGCTAGCTGAGGGCAGGATGTAGTCCAGCTGAGAATTAATGCATTTCTGGGTCCATGCTGATAAATTTTGACAAGTAGGGCTAATAGCTTGGGCACTGCATAAGCAAATGCAACTATACTGTGTTGAGACCTGCCACCTCTAGAAGCTTGAGCTTTCCCCTGGCTACAAGCTCTTCCCTGCTCTTCTTTCCTAGCCCAGCCTGGGAACACACACTACAGGAGACTGTCCTGGACTCTGACAGGTGAGACAGTAGCTGTTTGACCCCCAAATCCTCACCTGAGTCTGAGAGAGGGCTTGTCTACATACACCTGGGCTCCAGAAAGACTAGCTGTATGAATTAATTCTGATAATAGTTACTTCAGTGCCAGTTTGTAAGTATACCAGCCTAGCAAAAGGTTCCCTGTGTCTGAAGTTTGTCCCTTCTTTTTTAAAAAAATCCATTTTTTTCCTATCATGATGCAGGCTGCCCCCTCCAAGAGCACTTCAGCTCCAAGGGATCCCCATACTTTGTTTTCACCCTGAACAGATAAAGGCTTCGAGAAGTTTAGGTTGCCTTTTTTTTTTTTTTTGTTTTTGTTTGGTTTTGTTTAATTTTGTTCCTAAGGAACTGGTGCAGATCAGGTCTGATTTATAAACAAGCAGCTCAGCTGTGTAAATGTGGGGACAGAATGTTCAGATAATGTTTCAAAAGGAAAGGCAAAAAAAAAAAAAAAAAAGTTGTACAGTATTTTTCCTGTAAAGGTTATTACTATATATAGAACAAAAGAGAAACCACCAATGCCAGGGGGATGAGGGGGGTCATCTGCCTTCTGGACAGCCCTTAGATACGGTTAATTGTGTGCAATTGGGTTTTTTTTCCTTCCCCCCCCTATTTTTTTTCCCCTTCAATGTAGTGTTTGTTTGTAGGGGGTGGCAGGGGAGGGGGGGCCTTAATGCTACGGTTTGAGGCTGACTTCACACTCCTAGCACTGACCGGAGCTGCACGATTCCGAATTCTAACTTGAATTTTGTAGAGATGAAACAAATGAAAACAAAACAAATGAAATATTGTTATTACTAGTTTGTAGTTTATTTAATTCTTTGGAGTTCTTTTCCTCTATCAGCTATTTGTGTGGCTTTTATTTTTATAGGGTTTTATTTTTTTTGTTTGTTTTTGTTTTGTTTGGTATATCCCCTGCCCTCAACTGTGTGTTTTCTAGCACAACCCATTTCTTGAATATAATGAAGCTCACGTTCCTGGGGCAGAGTGAGGGAACGAGGCCCTGGGATTTCTAGAACTGGGATGGGGCAAAGAAGAATTTTACTGTAACGGCATTTGCTGCAGGTTCTACACTTGTACATTTTTCCCATGTTCAACTACTTAGCTAGTACGGTGATGGGCTCCAAGAGGAATCCTTGGATGTAACACAAGCCACATCTTGCAAAACAGATGTGTTTATTCTGTACCGCAGAAATCAGCGTGATGTATATCAGTGACTTTGGTGGGAGCGGGATCGAGCCTGCTGCCTTCAGTGCAGCATCCTGCAAGGTTTTGTGAAACCTGCCTGGGGTGTTGTGAAAGCTGGAGGCGAGGGGGGGTCTGGGGTCAGCGCGAGGCCTGGGGATCGCTTGGGCCGCTTGTTTCCATTGAGGACAAGACAGGCCCATTCCTTGCCGTTAGGAGCTGGGAACCTGCACCGAGCCCTAGTGATTTTACCTCTCCCCTTTCATATCTCACCAGACTCCACTGACTGAATCACTGCACAACAGTGGGAGAAAGCAGAAGTGTGTGGAGAAAAGGGGTAAAAGATCTACCAGGAGCTTGGCTAATGCCGGCCCACACATCATCCCAGGAGGCAGCTTTAGGCAGGTGCGGCCAGTGCAACTGCACCGGGATCCGCGCTGGAACGGGGCCCTGTTTCACACGTCCTTCTGCGTGGCTGAGCGTGCCAGAAGGGCTGTGTTTATCTATGCACACCATTTTCTCCCCCAAGGCACCCTACTTCTCCCTAACATCTCAGCTTTTCTCCCAAACTTTTATCACCTCTTCTCCGGGAGCTGGCACAGGGAACGAGATCTCTTTCCCAACAGGCTACTGCGAAACGTGCCAGCGGAGCAGGGCCTGACCCCACCGGCGGTCAGACACCCTCCCAGGACAGTGGCCATCTGCCCTTCCCGTCAGGGCCACCCAGCAGGCTGGCCCTACCCCAGCACGTCTTCACTCAACCTTCTCCAAGTCTTGTTCCTGTAAATCTCTTCCTATGTCTCTATTCACAACAACAACAAAAGTCAAGAAAGTTAAACCCGTCTTTTTTAGTCTGCCCTGTTGAGGCTTTAATTCAGCAAACCTCTTAAGCAGCTGGTTTCTGAACGGGCACCGGTTTAAGCCCGAGCTTAAGTGCTTTTCTGAACAAAGGCCTCCAAGGCACAAAGATCCCTAGTACAGGAGGTGGTTTTTTTCACTTCAAGCTATCATATCAATAGGACTGTTAGTACAGTGCTAGTGAAATACACGCATCAAAGACTGACCAGAAAAAAAAAGAGAAGGAGATTGAACTAACTGTATGAGGAGGGGGAAAGAGGAGAGAGGAAATGGAACTATTCTGTCCAAAATGAGATCAAAACCAAACAAAATAAACTTTGAGATGGACCCTCCTGATTCTGCTACCATTCACTGCTGAAGAGAAAAAAAAAAAAAAGAAATAAAATAAAAACTATTGACTAGATTGTTCATTCTAGCCACAAACGCAACTGGATTAAAATCTGTGTGGAAGGAATTTTGTAAAGAAAAAAAGAAAAAAAAATTTTAAAAAAATTTTCCAATGTAGCAAAAAAAAAAAAACTTTAAAAAACAAAAATGAAAAAAAAAAGACAAAGAGGGAGGATTCTAGCCTTTTGTAATATCCATATTGCACACTAGGACTATAAGCCATTGCTAGCTCATTTTGAATTTTAAATGTGTATTTTTTTTTTTGTTTTGTTGTTGTTTTTTTTTTTCTTTCCGTGGGGGAGGGGGGGAAATAAATGCTTGAACCACCAATGCTCTTTTTAATGTTTTATAAATATGTATGTGTATATATATAAATATAAAAATAATATGTATGCACATATATATGTGTGTGTGTATATATCTATATGTATATACATATATATAGATATATAGATATATATATAGGTTTTGAGACAAAAATGCAGAAAGTGAAAAAAAAACACCCTAAACAGGATGGTGTGCTCTGATTTACTTGAATCTGGTCTCTTCAGCACCTGCGTTATTAAGAACTGAATATTTTTCCACTTGAATTTAGTGCTATTAGAAATTTAATATATGTGTTTTATTTATTTGATTTTTTTTTTTGCATGACTGATGCAAGGTTTGACATTTTCACTCAATAAAAACTGGAAAAAAAAAAACCCCAAAGTTTTAAGTGATCAAGCTGTCTTCTTGATTGAGGAGGTGTTTGTTGTTTTTTTTTTAAGAGCTAACAAGTCTTGGAGCAGTTTGGGTCTTTTAAAGCATTGCAGTCCTAGTAATGGCCCTGCACCCATTTTAACAGCCCCTGTTTTAGC